GTGTATGTTGTATTGGTGAGAGGGAGAGGGAGGGGGGGGGGGGGGGGGGACAGGACTGAGGCACAACTGAAATACCCTGTATTAAAAAGGTGAACCTTTTAAAACCTTTTTAAAAAAGGTTTAACCCTTTTAATGTTGTATTAGAGCTAAAAGAGCTTTAAAAACCTGTCTCCTTTCTGCGTAAGGTTTAATATATCAAAATGTAAAACTAGCCAAGAAATTGCAACATTATTGCAGAGTAAAAGGATTAATCGGTCCTAAGTGTATTATCAGTTTGCTTTTGAAAGGCCAGCTTGTCTGCTGAAGTGAGTTTCCACCCACAAAAACATTGTACCCCAGTAAGTCCTCCTGGACAACCAATAAAGCTCAGTGCTTTATTTCTAAGGAAGAGTAAAACATGCAAGACACCGGGAACTACAACTTCTTTCTTTCTGGGTCTTTGAACAGAAAACACCACTGCCAAAGGACAGGCCCAGTTTGGTGTGCTTTTGGGGTTGGTGGAGTTTTGGGGGTTTTTTGTTTGTTTGTTTGTTTAAATCTCTTACAAGCTGTATACAGGGAAATCTGTTTGTGTTCCTCATTAATTCCAGTAAGGGCTTGGACACTTGAACAATCTGCTGGCTCTCTAGTGAAAATAAAACCAAGACTTGACATTTCTAAGGTAAAGTAAATGGAGAGCTACCTCCCCCTCGTCTCTTCTCTGACTTGAACTCTTGGAGTAAAGGTATATTACAGGCATTATGTATCAAAATAAAGTCTGGAAAATTCATTAGGAAGCTTACCTGGAAATTTTCTTTAAAGAAAAAAGGTTAAAACTAAATTATTACTCTTTTTTTTGGTGTGTGTAATGGTACCTCAACAAAATTTCCTAGCTCTCAATATGATCAGTTGGATGTAAGTACAATTATGGTGAATCAAACAAGTTACCTAGAACAAAGCATGTAAAGTTTTGACAGCTTAAAGAAAACACTGCCACATTCTGCCTTTGTATTTTGTACAGTTTTATACTTTTGATATTATAATAAATACTAAAACCACATAGTTTGTGTCTGTATGTTACAAGGCATTTTCTTCCCTTGATGGCTGCAACGGAAGCAAGAGCAGCGCTTGTAACTGTGACCACTCTGCCAAGAGAAACAAAGTAATTCAGAAATGGTAAGTTCAGAAATGGTAAGACTAGCCATCTCATGTAAATCTTGTTGTAAGTAAGGGTTTCTAGCTAATTAGATCTATTACGCTGTTACAACAACCATTATTCATGTTGTATAGAGCAGAGGTCATTTATGCAAACAAACTCATAGAAGAGGAAGATGACTAGATTTATTCAGAAGGCCCAGCATGTACAAATGGCTTTGATACATGAACTAGAGTGCGAGAGCACAAAGACCCTATAATTTATCCCTCCTTTTTTTCCAGCAACTGTGCCTACATCCTGATGCCCTCAGTTTGGGAAGTGTATTTGCATCCTTTGCGTCAGAAGTCCTGGGTTCAACCCCTGCTGCTGGTACCCTTCCACAGAGCATGTGCCGTGTAATCACATTCACACATCAGCACTATTGGGACATCTAAGGAAGGTACTGAGTTTTAACCGAGATGTAGAAAGACACTACAAAGAATGCGATAGACAAGTTTTAGTGTTGGGCTGGTAGGGGGCTGAATATATCTAACTGTGGTAGGAACACCTCATTTATTAAGAGGCTACATCCAGGAAAAACAAGCACTGAACTACTTAAGTCACTGTTTGTGAACATGCAGAGTTGTAAGAGCTTAACACCAGCAAAGTGAGCCATTTTCTTCCTGGCAGTTACCTCTGCAAGAGAGGCTAGTAACAGAAGAAGCTTGAATATCTTAATTTAATCAGTCTACTTTGGGAGGTTTTCCATCAAAACCAAACAGGTTCTATGCAAAATATGGACAACTGAGGCAGAAGTTGTAATCTGTATTGTATTAATAATAGTGAAGAAGTCGCTGTTTCCATGTAAGCTGCTAGCTTGGAATTAAAAAAAAAATAGGAGCAACCAGGTAACTGCAAACAAACCACATAAGCTTTTACTGTTATCTGCTATGACATGGAAGTGCAGAGATGCTTTGATCAGCTGTAAGCTCTGTGCTGGTATTATGCTCATGCTGCTGAGGACTTTCCTAGGTTACTACCAGGTGCTCAGAACACTTTAGGACATGTTACAACAGCTGAGGAGTTTAGTTAAATAGTAATGACAGGAACCAGCTACTCCATCACCACTACAAATAACTATTTTTGACAGAGGGGGAAAAAAAAAAAGCGAAGTGCCACATTTATGCTTTTTTGCACCATTTCATCTTTCCAATAAAACAATTATTTATATTTTATTAGCCACAACAGGTCATCAGCTTGCATTACACTGACACAGATTGGAGGTTCAGACATGCCCGCAACCTGCCAAGAGAAGAGAGATCAAATATAGTAAGTCTTGCACAGTGGTACTAGTAACTGAGCATCCCCCTTCCCCAAGCCCAAACAATTTTAACTACGAGCAGGCAAATTTCAGCCTGTTGTAACCCCAGGAAGAAATGACTGGTGTCCCTTTAACATACAACAATGACGCTCAAGCTTATTGTTTTCTAATCATTTTTGCAGACTATAAAGACAGCCCACAGGTTTTTTCAAAATGCCATTTCAGTGGAAATTTTGTATTTGAAAGTGATTCTAGAATTTTGTAACACTTGATTGTTGCTATACAAAACCAAGTCCAATCATTTCTATATGGGCCTTGCATGATCAGGTGTGCAATGCATATAGTTCCATTGTATGGTGCTCCTTTTCTCTGTTCAAAGGAAGGTTTTAACAGACTGCATTAATCTCTGCTTGGAATTCTCTAATACAACTAAGAAATAGAGTAGTACTTGAGGACTTATTATTTCAATAGCCTACAAAGCAACAGTTATCCCTATTTTACAGCAAAAGGGCAGACCAGAGGCACCTAACTGTTGCAGGCAAAGCCTGATATGCCTAGCTGCAACATCCTTCTGTTCCTCCTTCCTTTCTTACTCTTCCTCCCTCTGTGATGTCCCTAATCCCATTTACCATGTCAGAAGAACAAAAAGAATACTGGTATCCCCTACTTTCTGCATCCCCCTTTAACAACCTACTTCATTCAGAATGCCCCCAAATGAGCTGATGCTATAGTTTACTTGAGGTTTAAAATGATAAATATGAAGTTCACATGCCTGTGTTTTTCTCTCTCTAATTATATTCTATTATTAGCAACTTCTCCTTTGTCACTCTTTCTTCCTGGGCTGGCACTGAATCACTTTGTTCCTGGAAGAACACCAGCCACTTACCGTTTACTTATCTGCCACAGCAGGAGTTTTCTTTTTAGGTCTAAGCTTGAAATACAAGATGAGCATTGCAATGCCTGTGTATGTTGCTATTACATACTGGAAAACATAAAAGTTAAGTTTAGTTTCATTCTAAAACCCAGAAAACACCATTATACTAGACTACAAAAGTTAATATACATAATACATACATTCCTCCTGCCTGTGATGGTATAGGAATTGAAGTACTTCTGAAATCCAGTGAACTGGTGTTGAGATCCTGAGTCGTGGCCAGCCATGGTTGCTTGTCCTAACAAGCAATACAGGACAGTTAACAAGTTTACAGTCAGTTGGACAGGATCGATAGAAAAATCAAACTAATCTCTACACTGAACTTAATACTTCCATTGTCAGCTATTAAATCTGCTTTCAGGACATTCAACAGACAGTGGATATGCATAAGGAGCAGGCAGAGGTGACGCAAAAGCAGACAAGGAAATGAGGGATTCTGAAGGAAAGAATATTTCCGATTTTCAGCATTCATTCAACTGAATTTAAACATGGGGAAAATAAGTCAATATGATGACGACAAAAGGGGAAATTCCTGAAAGCACGTATAAAGAAGAGACCTGCCGGTCCTACCTACACAACCAATCAACACAGGCAAATTTCTACCAATTGTTCAGGAATCTGCAATACCTAATTAAGATAAATCTTCACTAGTTCAGCTAAGAAACTGCTTAAATTACATACCCAAAAACTTGCTGACAAGATTCAGACTAGACTACTACTCTGTTTTGTGATTCAAAAAGCCACTTTACAACTTTTACGCCATATTAGAGTGCAAGTATTGTTAGTAAGAACTGCCCTGCTCTCAGTTGCACACTTCTATTGCATCTTACTTGCCCACCATAGTATTCACGATCTAGATGAAAATATACTTTGTTTTTCAGTTAGTTTTCAGCTAAATCAGCAAGTTACTTGAGCCAGCTACAAAGCCTCAGAAGTGCTTTCACAGGAACAACAAAAACAATAAGTACATGAGGGCACACTTTTGTATTTTGTCTGTCCCCAGACCAAAGTTTCAGGTCTACTGTAAGAAAAAAGCCTGGTGTGGCTACAGCAGCAGAGTTGCAGATTCAGTGAATGGTTCAGGTTGGCACCTCTGGAGATTGCATAGTCCAACCCCAACCTGCCCAAAGCAGGGGCAGCTACAGCAGGTCACTCAGTAACATGCCCAGTCAAGTTTTTAATATCTTTGGAGACAGAGACTCCACAACTCCTCTGGGGAATCTGTTCCAGTGTTTGATCATGCTTATAATAAAAGGGATTTTCTTTTTAATGTCCAGAGATATGTTTTTCTAATGTTTAAGGGGGTTTTATGTTTAGGACAAACATTTGTTGTTTACCTTGTAACTCACCTCAAGAGGCACACATGCCATAGGGTTACCTACCAAACCAGGCAGATGCTGTAGCCAGCAGTATGCTAGAAACTGCTCTAGCAGGTGCTATGTTCATTAACACAGCCTTGCACCAATCCAATCAGGTAAGCGTGCCTGTAACTGGGCTGACTATGCAATAGCTAAAAATCTTAACAAAATAACACCCCCAAACCTGTGCTGTACATGACTTGGAAAGCCAAGATCATCTTTTCTCATGCCTGACCATGCAAAAGCCTGGAGAAGAGTCTCTGCGTCCTTCCGAGGACAGCTCAGAGACCAGACATCAGAACACAACTTTTCTTTTTCG